GGAACTGTCATCACTCGAGCAAATGCCTTTCACTAAAGTAGCCTTAGTTCCGATGAAGACCGATGAAGAGGCTAAAAGCAGGCGTCTACATTTGGATATGCTTGACAGTCCACCCGCTGCTTGTGCTATTGAATGAGACGCCTATAAGTCAAGTCACCGCGCACCGCTGCTTGGCCAGCCGCTTGCCATTCAAGCATTCAACGCGCAAATTAAGTGAAGTATACTTTGTGAGCACTTTTCATTTCCGGCCCGTTGGCTGCTTGACATTCAGCGCTTTGTTTGACTTTCCGCTTGCAATTCTTGCCATTTCCCATTTCTCCGTTGCGAAAACCGATTTCTAAAAGTACATAGCGCATTATGAAAACAAAATGCATACACACGCAATCAAAATTATTCAAAATTAATTTCTTTTCATTCTTGCTATTTCATTACATTTCGTTGGCAGACAATTAGGGAAATTCATTTTTGATTGGCTCATCATAACCACCGCCCCACCCGCGAACCGCGCGCACTCAAATTTTGAAAAGTTTCGCTGATTGCTGCAAAGCACAAAGTTGCCACATTTTTGCTTCGTCTTCAATTTGCAATTTCTGTAGCAATTTCACTTTTTATATTTCTTTTTACACAAAAATCATACATAGCCTCGCAGAAAAGTGGCGTGGCCTTTGCATCTTCAGCGCGTTTATTTGTGTATACGTAGCTTTTGGTTATTCCATTTTAAAGAAGCGTTTAGTTCGAAATTGCTTTAGAAAGCAGGGCAATTATATAGTACTTCTCTATCGCCCGCGCTCTCTTCTTCTCTCTCTCTCTCTCTCTGGTCACTGCATTAGTGTTTGCTAAAACGTAGGCAACAAAACGTGCGCAGCACTTTGTCCATGACCACTTTGTTTGGCGGCCACAAGTCAGTGGAAAACAGGTAGTTCGCTTTAAGTGGCACGTGGTGGGCGGCACTTGCGTTGGTTGGCTGTGTGTTTCGCAAGGAAGATATTCGCATTCAGCCAGTTCAACATTTATAAATAATAAGTAAGGTAAGAGGAAAGTTTAATTCAGCGCTATAAGTTGCAAAGTTCATTTATATAAATATTTATATATGCTTTGAAGAGTCTAAGCGGTTTTAATTATATACACCACAAGCCTTCATTTATGGCTTCCTCTTTGCGATTTGTAATTACAACTGTAGTTTGTGCTCTAGCACTTAAATTTACGAAAACACTGTCTTTGACTATTACATCTAGCTTTTCTTGGTAGGAACACCTTTCGTTCTTCTTCTAAGCAATCAACCACTTCTAAAGCACCATTCTAACTAAAGTTTAAGTATCCATAAAGTGGGACATCCTATCGAGACCTTATTGTTATAACTTTCCAAAATATTTCAATGTTGGAGAAATGCTTACTTACAAACATATTCATGATATCTTTACTCTCTTCACAAATTTTTCAAACAACAAGAAAAAACGTTAACTTCGGTTGCACCAAAGCTATAATACCCTTCACAAATAAAAAAGGCTTCTTACAAGAACTTGATTCCGATCGTTCAGTTTGTATGGCAGCTATATGCTATAGTGATCCGATCTAAACAATTTCTTCGGAGATTACATTGTTGCCTTAGAAAATAACTCATGCCGAATTTCGTGAAGGCACTTCGTCAAATAAAAAAGTTTCCCATACAATTACTTAATTCCGCTTGTTCAGTTTGTATGGTATATATGTATTGTATATATTTTATAGTTTCTGACTTCGTGGCAAACCTAATATACCCTGTTCAGGGTATAAAAAGCTCTCTGTAAGATGTACTGATTAGATCTGGAGATATATCATATTGTACCTATTTAGTAGTAGTATTTCTCAACAATTATATACAAATCGAACTTTCTGAATTTCTGGTTGGCATCAATGAATATAATCGGATAAAATGTTGAAAGATTTTTGAACTTTCGGTTGACTTTATACCGCATCTATCAGGCAATATTTCCCCTAGTCCCTATATACCTAATATATAGACTTTCCTTACTTGTTTAAATTAAAGTTTTGCGAACAACTGAAGGTATTTCCCCACCTTTGATCCTGGCAAGTTGCTAAAGTATGAAATGAGCGATTACACCCGAATTTAGCCCTTCCTTACTTGTTAATACATTTCTTTTCTAGAGTTTCACGTATTTTCTATGACACCTAGTTTGACAGCTATTCCACTTTACATTCTCTGTCTCTAAAAGTTACCTTACATTTCCTTGTATATCTCTAGTCAAATACTGATAATGAATGAACAGTAAACATATTCATATAATAAAAGCTTTCATTTAGAAATGCGACTGCAAATATTTATTTGTATATATTTTTATATATATATTTAGCAATGCAGACAGCTAAATATATATTCTTCTATATATTTACTTGATTATTTGCGCAATGATTTAAATGTTTATATATACTCCTACAAGTATGTAGGCCTTCACAGCTTGTTCACTAGTTATCGGCATTAGTTTGCCATGCCATGCTCGTACGAGATTTTACAAATCACTGAGCTTTATTGTTCGAGTGCTTTTATAATTTATACATTATTCAACACACAATCTCAGCAGAATGAAAATGTTATAAATAATAAAAAAGTGCACACATTCACACGTAACTCTTTATTACATACTGAAATAATAAATACTTTTTAATGGACTTTGTGGACACAACATTTATTTATAAAAACTTGCTTATGCTGGACATATTAATGGAAATTATTACAAAGATATAATTGTACTTGCAAAGCGACAACGTAGTGCATACTTAAATATGTCATGGCCAGATCTAAAGGTTTTCTGTAGATATGAACACTTTTAAAGCTACTCACGGAGGATGCAGTTTGACCATCAAATTCCAGATATCCAGTACAGATTGTACCATATATATGTGCTGCCCAAAAAAATCCAGGAAAATATACGTTTTCTTAAAGGGGAATTTTTTTCGGATTTTGAACACTTGAAAAAAGGTGCGAATTTTGCGTTTTTTTTTTGTTTTTTGCTAAAAAAAACAATAAATTTTGGAAACTTTTTGAAACTGCGTTTAAACCGCGTTTCTAACTAATGTATCTTTAAAATGACTTCGAATTTTTAAAAATCACTTTACCACCGTATTGTATTATACTTGTAGTTAAGAAAGCAATTTATGAAAGAAAAAAAAATCGATTGTTTGAGCCCATCACATGCATGACCACCTGAAATTATATTGTCTCTCTTCGTTTCTTGTCGTTAGACACAAAAGTTCGTGAGCAATATTCTCAAACTTAAATCATTTTTAAAATTATAAGCATCAGGCGCTTTAGATGCCACAATTCAGTGAAAGCTTCTTTTAAATGTTAAAACCTACACATACATATGTATGTTGAAAGTACAAGTAAATGTATAAATGGAAATTATTACAACTGCTGAAATATTTTTAGATAATTGCCAGCTGTCTAAACTTGACAAGGCAAATTACATACAAGTAAACAAGGTTAACGCTTGTAATTAAAGTAACACAATCGATTTCGTTGCATTATTGACGAAAGCTCAGTGAATGAACAAATGTCAACATTTAATATGCGAACGTCAATTCTGGCTGCAAACGCAAATTGGAAAATAACAAAGCGGAAAATATTAGTATTTATTACCACTCTGTGTACCATAGTTACTTATCGCTAGATCTTTATTACCAATTTGGGAGTTTTGCAAGGTGTTAATCAAACAAACAACTAAGAGTTGGTTGTCATTAGTGAGATGGTCCAGATATAGGAGTAGTGAGTAGAGAATGCTTTCAGTTCGTTTACGAGATGATAAATGCCTAGTATTTGTCTCATTTTAAAACTTGTTGAAGCAGAGTGAAGCGGAACTTGAGACACACTCATATAATTCTACACATGCATACAGAAGTTGACCGCCAAAGATGAAAAAGCTATAAACTTCCATTCTTCAAAAATGTTTTCTAATGTTATAACTATATTCATAAAATTAAATCACTTAAAATATAAAAAAAAGAAATAATAAAATATTTTTAACCCCAGCTCTCTTTGAGTAACGGAAAAAATATCACTAAAGCGCCTAAAAGTATATCACATGTATTATACTGTATACATATAGAAAAATTTAAACTGCTTGAAAAGTATGAAATACTTAAATCCTCTGTAGCAATCGCCAATAATTTTAGTGTTTGGTTTTTCAGTATTAAAATAACTGAAAACGAAAAGTAAAAATTTTTAGAAGTTCTGTAGTGGCATATGTGGTTAAAAATCTGAAGCATACTTTTAAGAGCTTAAGATGGAAGAGAGAAGCATTGCTGGAAATACAGCGTGCTGAACGTGTGGTATTTAATTCCTAGAGCTCTGAACAAATTTTTAACTGCTTTAGCCTAAAAAATCATCTCCATATTTATAGTAGATGAAATACTACCATGCATTACCCTGTAGTACGGAGTTTTTTGTGAGAATATGTCGGAGTAAATGAGATAAGCTTAAAAGTTTATGTACGAATTCGCTGTGCGCTATAAACGGACGCCTCCACATAAAAACAAAAAGGAAACTCTAAAATCAAAAATGAATGCAGTAACTAAAAATTTCAACAACAGCAATTAAAGTGAAAAAAAGCCAAGGCGCTAACCTGACTTCAACAGAAATTTCAGTTTGTAAGCACGACCAGCAAATGCAGCAGATGGTGGTAATATGCGGAACACTCTGTGGTTGTGGTACTTAAGAGAATTTCTTTTGTTATTTGACGTTCGAAACCTTTTAAAGCAGACCAAGTGTTGTTAAAATATTTATGTCCATAAAGTTGAAATTTCAACTCTATACACTCAAAGGTCGCTCATTTATTTTAACTGCCAAGAATGTGAGATAAATGTTCTTAAGCCGGTGTGAGCGAAAGGCAACTGACCGCAAAGCTCCTAAAATATGGCAACGAAACCGTATATGCTTCTCATTTATTAAATTAATTATATACTAATAAGTATGTATGCATATAAATATGTTTATATTTTTTGTATACCTTTTAATATTATTTTATGTAGCTATTTATGCAGCACCTTGAGAATGTCAGGTCTTGTAAGTAAGGTAGATACATCGTTAAATCTTTTTTGCATACTCTTATATGCTCAACACACAACCGAGTCTGCTTGCTGCTTAATAGCCGCTACCGTTACAGTAATACATATTTTATAAGCAGATACGTACATAACTGTACACTAAAAGATGCCGGATACTTGCGTTCATGCTACTAAAAAGTAATCAAAACATTAATCGATTTTATAATTTTGTGTAAATTAATAAAGAAAGGGAACAAATTTGTGTTGAAGCTGTGATTTTTTACCTATTTTGTCTTATATATTCAAAAAAGAGCACGATGTGTGGCTAGTAATTTCTGTGGGGCTTGGAAGAGCTTAAAAGTATGCTATATTATTCAGGTTTTGTTTTTTTCCTTTGGTTTTAAATGATTAAAAGTTCATAACACATAAATTTCAATATAAATCTAAACGATTGTTTTCTTTGTTTTAATTTTTTCCACAGTTAAAAGGAACTTTTTACCGAGACTATGAATTATTAATCAAAGTTCTGTGTGCTAGAAGAAATAAGGTAAGTTTATAACTTCCATATAAATTTTTTAAAATTAAAAATTCGATGGCAAAAGCTTACATTTGAAGAAAATTGTTACCAAGAGTCGAGCCACAAAATCTAAAACTGCGATTAGGTAATAAATTAGTATTTTATCTACTTCATTTTTCTGTTTAGGAACGCGTTTCATACAAGTATATACCTCAAAGTCTTCGACGCCTTCCGACAGAGCCATTTTATTTCGCAGTACATTTGATAGATAATACAAAGTTGACTTTCTTCGAATCTTTCACATATATGTTCAGCATATCCAGGTTTTTCGTTGTTGTAGCGGCAAAAAACAGTGTTGAAAACGTTGTATGCGTTTTGGCTATAAGACCCCGACCGTCGTAGAAATATCATTTTAAATGCTTGATTTGATGAAGAAGCCCAATGAATATTTCTATAAATGAAAATAAAAACTCGTTTAGAGAGAGATAACGGTACTTTTTAAATTTAATATTATAACTAAATATTATGCTGTTAAGGCTAATGACTTTTTCCAGGAAAATAAATTAAAATAAATTTGGAAACAATATTCTATACACTTAGTTATAGTAGAACTTAGTATAAACCTGTTTAAATTTATCAACAATGGTAGAATATTATAATTTATGAAAAGCCATATATGTGCGAAAATATGCATTCAGGTTTTCTACGAGCTGACAATAGTTCTCTTCAAGTTGCTTATTTTTCTATAACTATCTAATTATGCCAGTCTATTTGATTTATACCAGTTGTTTGTTTGATTGGTCACTCTCTAACATTTAGTGAACACTGTTCTCTCAACAGTTCTCCGTTGTTTTCTCATCTACTGAATGTTACTCTCTCAGATTTAGTGAACACTGTTCTCTCAACAATTCTCCGTTTGTTTCTCACCTAATATAGAAACGAGCGTTAAGCTCCCTTGGCTACGAAAAGAATACTAATCATTCTTTAACTTTGATCTACTAAAATTCTGATTTTCATTTATCCCTCTCTGCAAACATAATAATCACATATTACAAGCGTACAAGCTATGAAATCGATTTGAATTATGATTTTAAAATGTGTATATAGAATATATGTATGTTCATTTGGCATACATATTCGTATATTAATCCGTAAAACATAAATCGGAACATACTTTTAAAGACACAAACCCACATGAGCATGTTAGCGGGTGTGCTAGAGAAAAAGAAGTAACGAACAACTGTTGTAGAGCATCAACAAATTATTGAAATCAATTCATAGCTTAGCTGCAAAGCGAGTTGTAAAGGCTACAATAAAAGTAATAAAATAAATAACTTTATTATGGCACATGCACGTTATTTTATAGCGGTCGTGTATGCCCGTGAGAAAATATGTATGTGTGTGTGTGTGTGTGGCCCTACAAAAGCGCAAACAATGCTCGAGGTAAAAAGTGAAACAACAAATTCAACAAAAAAAAGGTAGAAACGAAAAGGATAATGGGACATTGTGCGAACAGCAGGAGCAAAAGCATCACGAGTGGTTTAAAACGGACCGCCCTGAGCATTTCGGATTGCTTTGCTTTATTTTTGTGTGCCATTTTCAGGGCAATAGAAAGCAACACATCCCCGTTCATGCATTGTTTGTGGAGATTTGTGCAGAAAAGGATAACTCGTAAATAGATAACTGTAAGCAACAGGATATGTGTAGGTAGGATGTTTAAAGAGCGCTTTTAAATGGCAGCGAAAAGATATCGTGTGATAAGGTTATACTATATGTATATGTATGCATACATATGAGTGTATGTTTGTGTTCCACAATCCTACATCCTCCCGCTTATTTCATATAGCTAACTTTCGCCCGTATGAATATTCATCAACGCTGTGCTTTGACACCGCTCTCGGGCCAGCCTTAGGTTAATTGATAGCAAACGGACAAACAATCAACATTATCGTTAGCACTGTGTCAACAAGAGTGCTAAGTTCCTTTCGTTCGCACTTTTGTTTTTTTGCGTTCTCTTTGTTGTTTATTTATAATTTCTTCTTTTTAATTCTGTGAATTTTGCTGCTAGTTTTGCCCGAAAGTGTGTAGCGAACCTTCGAAAAGTATGACCGGAAAATGTAATTTTCAAAAATGTCGGCACAGGAACAAGTGGCCAACAGCACAGTTTCGCTTGGCATGACCATTCATGACACAAAATGTACTTTTTGTTCCATTTTTTCCTTTTTTACTTGGTTCGCTTGTTTTCCTCCGAATTTTCTCGCTTCGCCTTGTATTTGCTTTGTGTCTACTCGCTACTTAATAAGCAGAAAAATAACAAGAAATTTAAAGTAGATACAGTATACAGACCCTTGCACCCTATTGCCGGATCCTTTCAAATTAAATAAGCGAAATAATAATTGGAATGAAGTAATTCGTTTATTTTTTTATTTGATTCGTGCAAAAAGGCAAATAATGGCGCAATGTTACTGTACACAATATTTATTATATTGGTTATTTGTTTGCTTTTTCTGATCCTTCTGATGTTTGCAAGCGCAAACAGCAATTAACGCTTTTATAAATTCACGGGTGTATGTGCATCTATCTTTTAAATTTGCCATTTTTGTATGAACACCCAAGCAGCAACGTAATATATATTTTAGCGAGTAAAATTTAAATTTATAGGAAACCATAAGTGCAGGAGTGTCACTAAGCTTTAAGTAATTCGTTCTGCTATTATTATTATTATTTGGTGTCGCTCACTTTTTATACACACGAAGTTGATAACACCCAGAAGAAAACGTCGCAGACCCTATAAAATATAACATTTATATATATATTTTAGTAGCATGGCGAGCTGAGTCGATTTAGCCATGTCCTTCTGTGCACCTGTGTACATATACACTAGGGTGGGGCGAAAAAAAAATTTATTTTTTGCTTAGCCTGAGGTTAAAATCTGTAGATTATAAGAAAAGAAAATTTTTGGGCAAAAAAAATTTTTTTTTACATCTATAGGCGGCCCACTCAGTTTTAAAGTAAATTTCGGAAAGCATGTTGTCGTTCAAGATTTTTTTTAAAACTCCAATAATGACCACAAAAAATGTTTTTAAGTAGATAACTTTTAATTGGCCAGAAAGAGGACTCTCCACAGCTTCTAGAACACTTGTCAAAAACTTTTTACGAAATAAAAATTTTAACTCGAAAATTTACTTTAAAACTGAGTTTGAAAGCAGCCCTCTAGATGTTAAAATTTATTTTTTTGTCCACAATTTTTTTTTTCATAATCTACAGATTTTGCCCCCACGCAAAGCAAAAAAAACGAAACCTATTTTTTCCGATCGGAAAACTTTGGAGTCCTAAGTAAAAAAAAGTATTTTTTCGTTTTTCAAACTTAGCTTCTTTTTTAATTCAGTGATGTATAACTCTTTACTATCAATATTATAAAGCTATAAGTAGCGGCTATGTGTTAATGGCAAAAGCTTTTATATTTAGGGTTCATCTACTGCCGTCCAGCCTACTGTGTTCTACAGTTAGTTATGCGTAAATTGGTCGTTGCGTAAATAACCAGCTGAGGCGTTCAAAAATGTTATAGCTCTTGAAAGTAGGATGACTAGTCTTTACTACCATATGCAGTTCCAAGCTCATTTTCGCCGATATCAGCTTGGAGATAAAATTCCTCTTGAAAAGGGTCGTAATAAGCTCTGACTATTTGAATATATGTCTATGCACCTTTTAATGCTGCGCAGATTTCGATTTTGACATTTGCCGAAAGAGTGGTCAATTTAACCCGCATCCGCTTTCTCTTAATCTTCCTAGATGTATTTGTTGACCGCTGATTATATCTTTACTCATAATTGGAGTTTCATTTGTCCATCCTAAGTGTTCAGCAATTTCTGCTTTAATTTTACTAATGAAATTTTTTACTGTATAATAAAGATTAATTATATAAGTAATAATTATTGAACTATCTTTTTATTGCAATTATTTTTACGCGCTAAGTATTACACTAAATCCATACTTATTAATAACACCATAAAGTCTAAATTGCATTTACACACACCGAACGAAAGGGGTGTGCTTTGACTAATATACATTTACATCAAAAACACGTTTACCATTTAGGCGCACTCGCAAATGACAAATTCGTGTTATGTCGTGACAGCACTCGTCAACACACCAACACACACACTCACGAGTTACCACTAAAACTATGCTTGCATGTGTGCTTACTGCTTGTGTGGCTTGCATGTGGTTGAGTACATGTGTAGCCTTGTGTGCCTGACAGTCGGCGAGTAATTTGAATTATGTCGCACACGTCATGCTAAAATCAAGTTATACGTGGCGTATACGTAATAGTGTAAGTTTTTTTTGTCTTTCAGTTGCTGTTTTTTTTTTTTAGCTGCTCTACGGTTTAAAGCCTTGCTCATATTGTCATACATGTATGTGTGTGTAAAATCGCTGTCATCAAAGATAAATGTCTGCAACAATGAACTTTTAAATTGACTTTTATACAATTTTTATTGTTGCACAATGACATCGAAGCATCAAAAGTTTATAGTTGGTTTATTGTTTGGCTCTGTGTTGAATTAATGGTCCTTCTGCATTGATGACGTAGCCGGATCAGTGAATTTTCTGAAATGATGTGTGAACTTTAAAATTCCTTAATATTCCTATATAAGCTATTGTTGTATTTTGAGTCTCGCCATTGAAATTGAAAACGGATTTCAGACTTTTGTTCTAACAATGAGAAAATGTAAATTGGTGATGCATTGTTTTTCAGAATAATGTTTAATACTGTTAGAACGGCTTTTTATGATATTATAAATTAGAGATCTTTATATAAAAAAGAGAAAATAAGTCGTGTACGTCAAATCAGGATTTTATGATAGTGTGCTCAATAATTCGAAGTTTGACCACTATAGCATACACCTGCTATACAAACTGACCGATCAAAATTAAGTTCTTGTATGGAAAACTTTTTTGTTTGATGAGATAGCTTTTCGAAATTTGGTATGGATTATTGTCCAAGATCGAGTCACTATAGCATACAGCTGTCACATAAACTGAATGGTCGGAATCAACTTCTTGTAAGAAATATTTAGTATTTATGTATGGTATTATAGCTTTGGTAAAACCGAAGTTAATGTGTTTTCTTGTTATACTCTGAACAGGGTATATTAAGTTTGCCACGAAGTTTGTAACACCCAAAAGGAAACGTCGGAGACCCTATAAAATATATACATAAATGATCAGCAAGATGAGCTGATTTGATTTAGCCATGTCCGTCTGTCCGTCCGTCTGTATATACGTGAACTAGTCCCTCAGACCGCGAACCGCGACCTATGGTCTATTGTGCCCTCCCCAAAGTCACAACGACTCATCTAGCTCCAGCATATAGATGAACTCTAATATACTGCTAGATGCTAGCGAAGCGATGCGATCCCTGTTAGGAAACATGGATCCCAGGGCCTTAAT